AAAGAATGTCAAAATAGATGCCAGAAATTATGTCAGAATAGATGCCAGATAGAATGTCAAATAGAATATCAGATAGAATGCCAAAGTATATATGCCAGGAAGAATGTCAGACAGTATGTCAGAATCAAGATGCCGTATATACTGCCAGATGGTGTGTCAGAAACATGCACAAACTATGTCAGAATAGTGCTTCAGGGGGAGATCACTCGAAAGAAGTTATTTTTTTAAAAATATCATTTTATATCCAGCTGAGTGATATCGGAGGGGAAATTCATTTGGGACTGAGGACCCTCGAACTCATGGAAGCTGGGGTGTAAGGTGTGAGTATGGAGAGAGCCGACAGAGAAGAAATAATGACAAATGGAGAACCTCTGAGATCCTCTGAGTATTCCTCACAGTTCTTCTCGGGATTTATGAGTTTTACGATAATAATATAACGCCCTACCGTAAACTCACAATTTTCTGATTTCAATTTTCTTGCACAGTAAGATTCAGGGTTTGACAGATGATAAAATGAGTTTGGCGGGGCCCTGGAAAAATGCGAAGTGCCCACTTCTTCTCCTTTTTCCTAGGCCCTTTGGAATACAACTAATCGTCTAGGTGTCAATGTCACGGCTCTTCTAGCCGTGTCCGGTGTTTTGGTGCAACCCCACCAATTGTCTGGGCTGACAACCCCCCCCGTTGGGATGTCTAGTCATCGGTGTTCCCTCTCATGCCAAGGTGCCCGAATCCTGCTTCATTTCAGCTGCTCTGATGCAATGCTTTGATCTTTGCGTAACAGGCAATTCACAACAACCAGCATGTCCAGCGTTTTGGACATCACACGCCTCGAAGGGCATGTGGAAAAAGTTGGGGAACCTCCTAAACCCATCCAAACCCATCAGCATGGTTTATCGAGCCATTAGGGTGGATACTCCTGCTGTCCCCCGTGGAATGTTATCCCAGACCCTTTTCACCCACTGAGGATTACACCACCGAGACGCTACTGCAGGATGCTGAAGGGCTGTTGAAGATCAGCTGTCAGCTGACTGGCCCTTCTGCGGAAGCTGCTTCTATCCGCTTCTCTTTGGGAGATCTTGAGGCGGGGCAAGGCTTGGCTATTGATTGGTTGATATTTTTTTCCGAGGGGTAAGACCTACCAGTGTTTGGGATGATGTGTCATGATGTGTCCAGTGAAAAGCAGAGTGAAAGAAATAGTTGCGTTTGCACAAGCAAAACAAAGTCTGCCCAGCTTGTGCGGTGGAGAGTGTGTGCATGTGTACGTGTGGGCCCTCAGAACCCAAGTAACTGAAGTAAGTAAAGTAACCAAAACAACTAAAGCAACTAAAGCCAAAAAGCAAAGGAATGATTCATTTGTTGGGGATATTTGGGGTTCATTATTTGGGGAGCCCATCTGTTGTTTTCTTAAGGTTTGTATTCCCACTGTGCAGGGCTCCACGGTTTTGGCCTCCTGCACGGCAGTTGCCAAGTCCACGGGAGATGGCTGGTGTCCGGACCTCAGTTGAGAAGCCATGGCAGTGCCACTGAAAAAAGGCCAGTGGTTTTGGTGTGCACATGGGTATTTGCCTATGGCCCGATGTTTGGCTTTAAGATGCTTTAAGTACAGTATATTGCTGAAGATCTTCTATTTTATGTTCGAACTCTTTCCGTTTGAAGGAAGAAAATTAGTGGGTTGGCTTGAAACTGACAACCAGAACACCTCTTGGAACTTTCCAAGGCACCACCGGTTTCTTGTTCTGGCCCTCCGTTGGTTCGAAAGAAGTATCAAGAACGATGTGCTCCTGCTGGACCCCCAAAAATGATCAAAAATGAATATATAAAAAGGATCAGTACTTTGCCATACTTTGCCCAATTTCTATGGATTTGCAGGTCTAAGAAGCGGTTTTGTTCAGTGACACCCCTGGGATGCAATTAATAGGTGAACTTTGCTTTGCCAACATTTCATCGATATTAATTGATTGATATGACTTATATATACTTATATCATATTGTGCAAGCTTCTAGCCAACTATACCTAGCCATACCCTGGGAATCCCTGGAATCCACTGGAAAGCTCAAGTGATGGATCTTGCCCCAGGCATCACGGCTGAGTTGAAGGTGCCAAACGTGCAGCCCTGGAGTGCTGAGGTGGTTTGGCCATGCATGGCACGAGTTTGGGGAAGGGGGATGTAGCTGGGGCCGGACCGTTGATCGGTCAGCTGAATCTCCCAACATCTCTGATAGGATCCCTATTTGTACGGCTTGCTGCTGGAGTTGCTCAACAGCTCTCAGACAGTGCTTCAGGCGGAACACGTGAAGATTGGCTTTCGAAGCTTGGCAAAATGCATCCGGTTGAGCCCGTTCTTGCGGTCTTGGAATCGTATTTAGGAGATTGGCATTGGGGTGGGTGTTCAATATGTCTGATGTTTTCATCCCAATTCTGGGATATCTGGGATGATGATGATGATGATGATGATGATGATGATGATCCCTTAAATGTGTGCTGGGAAGGGGTGAAGACCACCATAGCCCCATACGGCCCCCCTTGGAATGCACGAGGATGCGTGGACATTTGGGACGGGCAGCTCCGTGTGAATGGGCAGCCCATCACCGTGGCGGGTGCCAATGTCCATGAGATGCACCCACTGCGCGGTAAGGCCATAACCGAGGAGGATATGTTGCTTGATATCAAGAAACTGATGCTCGACTGCACTGGGGGAATGAGATTGAATGAGCAGAAGGAGCTGATAATTCACTGCAATTCAGGCATGGCTGATGCCAGCCAAGTGGGTTGTTGAGATTGCTGTCCCATGCGCAAACCAAAAAATGGAGGACCACACCATACCTAATATCAAGCAGGTTTGGACGCCTCAGATCATCCAAGTGTGCTTGGTCTGTGACTGATAAAACGATGTGCCATAGAGGGCTCTTCAACTCGGCATCAACCCAGGAAGGAGGGAAACTTCAATGCAGTGAGAAACTCACACTACCCGCATCATCCACGGTGGTATGAACTCTGCGATGAATATGGCTTCTATGTTGTGGACGAAGCAAACATCGAGACGCATGGCTTTGTGGAGAACTTGGCCATTTCCTTGCTGGCCTGTGACTGGGCCTGGGGCTTAGCAATGGAGATCAATGGACTAACTTCCAGCGACATGTTGTTATGATTTGTTATGTGTTTTTGTCGTTTTCATATTTCTGTACCTTGTCTTGCCGGCATGTATATATGCTATTGTCCGTGTTGACCTCTGAGCACAAAAGAAAGTAGTGCAACCTGTACCCAAAACACCATTTTGGCCTCAGCCAGCCGCCTCCGCAATCTCAACAGGCCTGGCGTGATCAATTCCTCCACCGTGCCCGGAACCTGTTCCAACGGGCCAAGAACCATCCCTGCGTCATCGTTTGGTCGCTGGGCAACGAGAGCGGCTGGGGTCCCAACTTCGCCGCCTGTGCCGATGCCCTGCGGCGTTGGGATCCGCAACGAAGACCCGTACAGTACGAAGGAGCGGAACACCATGGAGATGCCGTGTTCTTCTGCGGAGATGGGCAAGGCTGGCTGCGAAACCCAAGGAGAAAGTAGGTGGAATTATCTATCCCAGCCCATTTTTTGCTTCATGCTTGGTCTTGAAAGACCAATTTTTAGCGAATTGGTATAATTAATGGTAAAGTTTGATGTGACGTGATTTGCTTTGCCACATTGTACCCTGAAAAGCAGGACCACATTTGACGTCATCACCTGAAAATTGGCGGAACCTGGTGCTCTCGTAACATACATATCGTTGATATTCGTTGATTCTAGAGAGATGCTTCAAGACAGTCTCACACGAGTCTCAAAAACCATCTACAACGCATTACCACGCTACAACACGCTTGGCTTGTCAGGCCCATCAAGCGACATCATTTGCCCAATGCTTCTTTGCTGCAAGAAGAAGCTTTGTAAGGTTGCTTGCATTTGGTTGCTTGCATTTGAAATGATATGGGGGGTTCTTGCTGGATGGTACATAATGGAAAATCCCATCACAAATTGACGATTTGGGGGTACCACCATTTTAGGAAACCACCA